GGTTAATGTCTTAAACGTCGCAAACATTAACGCCATTCACACGATATATGGCTTTGGCTTTACATTACTTTGTGTTCAACACATCTCAACACCGCTTCACTCAATACAGCCATACATTCACTCAAACTTCGCGAACACACCCATAGGGGGCGACACTTCACCGCAAACACCTCTAACACCAATTGCCAGGCATTTCGCGATTGAATTAAATTAAATTTGATTATAACCGCAATTATAGACCAATTCGTTAACTATTGAGGACACGACTCACCGCCGATACACACATATAGAGTCCATTCAATGCATTATACCATACAATGAATGCTGTATTGCATGTCATTTGCCCTCAACTTACAAACCGGTCATCCATTCAATCTAATCATTGATTAAATTTTGAGTAATTTATAATAAATTGCAATTATTTTTGAACACAATTGACTTTAAAGTGTTTTTCCCCCAAAGAATTGCAAAACTTATTAATTGATTGTAAATTAAATGCAATATTGAATCAGATATACCGCTCACACCTCTACTCCATTATGTGATGTAATGTTTGGTTTGAAGTGAAACTGATTTGTGGTTTGATTTAAAAGTTGTCAATAATTTGAGTATTAATTGAATTAAGTATTAATTTTAAGCCATTAATCCATTGAAGAGTCTGTTATGATGTCTGCGCGAAGAGCTAAGATTCAGGTGAAGCCCAAAGTGATGGCCACCCGATCCATGGCCAACAAACCTCCGCCAGAGCCTGAGGTGAAGACAACACCGGCTGACAGTCCGCCCAAAGAGGCTCTCATTGGACACCAAACGAAGACACCGATGGAGACAACGCCACCGAAGCCACGGCTGACCACTCAGATCACGGCTGTTGCCGACGACGAAGACATTGAGATCATCGATACCATTGAAACCAAGACTGAGAGTCAATGTTGTGATTCAATTGATGGACACAAACCTGTGTTCAGCGATGATATCAACAACAATACCGCTGACAAAGAAGTGGTGAAAGAAGCGACAGAATGTCCGACTCATGTCAAACCACAAGACACTGAAAACATGACAAAATTGGTCCCAAAAGAGACGAAACCAGTGAAAGAGAAAGAGTTGTGTCGGAAGCGACGGCTGACTCGAAAGGCGAATACAGCGAAAGGCGACAAAACATCGATGAAAATGAAAGATTTGCTTCTTTACAATCCGCCGATGACTGACGAACAGAAGGAAATGCGCGACAAAGACATGGATCTGACGGACAAACCCGCGGCCACTGACGACACCGAGACTGAGGACAAGAAAATTGAGGACAAGCGCGAAGAGTCGACGACAAACACGACTGCGAGTGACACGAGTGGTGGTCCGCGGGTCAAAGTGGGCGCCGACGGTCTCCTCATTCTGGACGAGGAGTCAGTGATTGTGAAGCGCAAGAAAAGCGATACGAAAGAAGAGGCGCCTGTGATCGAGAGGGCGGGCGCCGTCTCGGCCTTCACTAACTACTCGTCGTTTCGCTCCAAGAATAGGGGCTCATCGAAGCCCCGATGGACCGAACACGAGACCATCCGCTTCTTCAGCGCACTCAACACTATCGGCACTGACTTCACACTTATGGCGGACCTGTTCTTCAGAGGTAAGCGAAGTCGTATGGATTTGAGGAATAAGTTCAAGAAGGAGGAGAAAGTGAACAAAGAGATGATCGATAGGGCGCTCTTCTCGCCCAACACTTTCCTCACAAACTGTACACAATTGGATCAAATCCTCGACTCTGAAGACTCATCCGACGATTCAGACGACGATAACACTTCCGCCAAACAAAGCGCCGCGAATGTCACGACTAAATGATTTTTGATTGCATTTTATTATTTTTTTTGAATGACTTCTTATTAATCTCTTTTTTGTATAAAATATATTTTAAAGAATACTTAATAAATATATTGTAATATTTATTCAACTGATTGTTAATTAACAGACAAAATATAACATATCTGTAAATGACATAAATTATAAACAATTTTGTAAAAATTATATTTATATTACATTCGCTGTAAATTCAATGTAATAAATATTTGGATTAAAACTTGACTTTTAAAACATACAAACTGTTGAGATATGGCTTTTGAAACTACTGTATTAGATATGGAATATGATTATTCTTACGGCAATCCTATTATTGCAATCAATTATTACTACATTAATCTCTTTAAATGGTGCAATTGTCCGGCATTGAGGTTAACTGATTAACTGATGGTTTGTCTTTGCAAATATTGATTATTATGTGCTCAACATTTACTATTTGAAACTCCTTATGATTAATAACAACAATAATTGTATTACAATTACAACTAATTTGAGGATTTGTATGATTGTTTCACGACTTGTTTAGTAACTGGCGTATAACTGGCAATGATGCCGCCAACTTGCCAACACATAATTCCACTAGCTGTCATTTTGTCTAAATAATTCTAAAACAATCTAATAATTAGACTAATTGTTAACGTTTGATAGGAGTGCTGTGGAGGAGTGAACTATGAACAATTGTGTACAATATTAGACAATATCAAACGTAAGAAACAATGAGCTCTAATTTGCTCTAAGAAACAATGAGCTCTAAGACCTTTTAGTAAATGGTCATGATCATGAGTGCTTTAAATTTACACATAGGTGTAAATCCTATGGTGATACGTAATGTATAACTGTGAGTTAAAGCACTCTTGGTCATGATGAAACATTTCAATTTTTAAAATATTTTTTAAAGTAAAAAATAATTCATTTTGAAATCGTTTTTAATTATGTAATCATAACAACAGAAAATTTATTGAATTTATTAATTCTTTTATTAACAATAATTATAATTTGAACATTAAATTGGATTCACTATAAAA